GACTTCTTCAAAGTAAAATCCAAATAACAGAGATGTCAATTCAGTCATTAAAGATGGGAATATTTGATAGAATATGAAAAGATTTTATAATTATTTTTAATTGTTTTGCTAATTACCATTTTCTTATTTTTAGTATCAATATGGAGCCAAATATATTTCAAAAATTCGAAAACAGCCCATTTTTATTCAAAATTTAAAAAGCTTTATTGCTCCTTTAACGAAATCTGGTCCGTTAAAAAAAAGGAGTAAAAGCACAAAAAGGAAAGAAAATATCATCCAACGGCTCAGATCATGCCACGTCAAAAACGAAATCGTGAGCCTCGGATCGTAACGGACCCTCCTCCCGCTCCCTCTTCAAATTTTGATTTCACATCCGTTACCTTCTCCAACTCGGACCCCAAACTCTTATAAACCCTAATTTTGCTCTCTCTCTTACCTTTCGATCATTTCTTCTCCAACTTCATAGATCTTTGATCGAAGGTAGTTTCTATTTTCTCGCTGTAGATGTTAAAGATCTTGATTTTTTTCACTGCGATTTTGTGTTTCTGGATTTTTCTGCAGATTTAGAGTGTTCTACTCACCATGATGCGTGATTCAACGGAGCAGTTTTCGAGAATCGAGACTACATGTGGATTGTTGCTTCGTCAATTGCAGGTTTCTTTCCCTTTTTCTTGAAGGATACTCAGATCCTTACTTTTTCCGATATTTGTATGTAGAATTTACAATTTGTCTGATATTAGGAAATATGGAATGAAATGGGAGAAACTGATGATGAAAAAGATGCTGCTTTGGCTGATATTGAGAAAGAGTGTCTTTCGGTTTATAAGCGAAAAGTCGAGGAGGCTAGTAAGTGTAAAGCGAATTTGCTTAAAGAAATCGCTATTGGAAGAGCGGAGATTGCAGCAATTGGTTCTTCTATGGGTGGACAAGAGATTCATGTAAGTGTTTTGATAACTTTTGTTCTTTATGTCTGATTCATGGCACAAAATGATAATTTGTTGTGTGTTTTTCTTTCTTTCTCTTGCAGTCTAACAACAGGGTTGGAGAGAACTTGAAGGAAGAGCTTGAGAATGTTAATGTGCAATTAGAGGGATTACGCAAAAAGAAAACTGAGCGAATGAATCGGTTTAAGGAAGTTATTGATCAGTTACTCAAGTTGTCAGTTCAACTTGGAATTTCGACTGATTATTTGAAGAAGTTTGCTTCAGAAGAGACCGATCTTTCGCTTCAGAAGTTGGAGGAATTGCGCAGGCAATTGGCTGAACTCCAGAATGAAAAGGTTGGCTTTACTTTCTTATGTTAGTATCCGAAATCCACCAATTGCTCTTTCTTATGATACTTTTTACTCTTTTTCATACTGTGTAGAGCAAAAGATTGGAAAAGGTAGAGCATTTGCTGGAAATGCTGAACTCGTTGTGCTCGGTGCTTGGTGAAGACTTCAAGGACATGATAAGAGGGATACATCCATCTCTGGTTGATTCCAACAACAGAGATGTGAGCAGAAGTACTCTTGATAAGTTGGATATGATGATTGAGAATTTACGAAAGGTCAAGTTACAGCGAATGCAGAAGGTTAGTATTCGAGTTCTTTATCAAATGTAGTGCCAAATCTTCTGCGTGCTTATGGTTTTTTGACTCTTATCACTTGTTTTTACAGGTTCAAGATCTTGCAGTCTCACTGTTGGAGCTCTGGAATCTGCTGGACACGCCTGAGGAAGAGCAAAAGCTATTTCACAGTGTCACTTGCAGCATCGCTTTGTCTGAGTCTGAACTTACTGAGGCCAACATACTTTCTGTTGCCTCCATGAAACGCGTGAGTGCACAGGAAAAAACCGTGCTGTATTTTTCTATCTGCTTATAACAGTATAGGAACCATCTTTTTGATAATGTGGGTTTGTTTTACAGGTTGAGGATGAAGTCATTAGGCTTAGCAAGCTCAAAATAACCAAGATCAAAGAGGTGATACTTAGAAAGAAGCTCGAGCTTGAGGAGATATCAAGGAAGATGCATATGGCCACCGAGGTTCTCAAATCAGAAAACTTTTCGATTGAAGCAATAGAATCTGGTAAACCATTATTAGAAAGCTTATTTCACAACTAATCAACAGTGCTGCAAATTCAATCACTTTGATGAGGATAATGTTATGCTCATTATAATGGTCAATACTAAGCACATACTAATATGTTTCCACTCCTCTTTTAGGTGTCAAGGATCCTGAGCTGTTGTTAGAGCAAATTGATTCCGAGATTGCAAAGGTCAAAGAGGAAGCTTCAAGCAGGAAAGAGATTCTGGAAAAGGTGGAGAAATGGATGTCAGCATGTGAAGAAGAGTCTTGGCTCGAAGAATACAATCGGGTAAGCATTTTAATCACAAGCTCTTTCTTTATCTGCTTCAACTCTTTTTCTAAACATTATTGGATCTCAGGATGATAATAGGTACAATGCTGGAAGAGGAGCTCATCTTACATTAAAGCGTGCGGAAAAAGCTCGTATCCTTGTCAATAAACTTCCTGGTAACATTCTTGTTCTCACAAAACCCACAAAAACCATAACTTTGATAACCTTGAAACTGGGATTATGATCATTTGCACATTGGTTTCTGCTGCTATTGATGCAGGTATGGTGGAGGCTTTGACAGCTAAAGTCATTGCTTGGGAGGACGAAAGAGGCAATGAATTCTTATACGATGGTGTAAGTGTCTTTACTGATCAATGACTCTGTTCTATACACTTATCAAGTCAACATCTTTTACACAAAAGCACTCTCCATTGTAAAATTGTTCAGGTCCGAGTTTTAACGATGCTTGAGCAGTACAAGACTCTATGGGAAGAGAAAGAGCTTGAAAAACAAAGACAGAGAGTAAGGAAAACTGGTTCTCTTTTATACTAACCAAAAGTCATAAGCATTTGAGCCAAACACATCATTGACATTGTTGTTTCATGTCAGGATCGGAAGAAACTACATGGACAACTCATAACAGAGCAAGAAGCTCTTTACGGGTCAAAACCAAGCCCAACTAAAAGCGGAAAGAAACCACTGAGAACTCCAGTAAACGCTGCCATGACCAGAAAACTCTCCCTTGGTGGTGCCATGCTTCAAAGCTTGAAGCCTGAGAAGGCAACACTCGGTGGGAAAAGGACCAACTTCTATGACCAGAACGCTACTAGTAGAAGAGATTCCACTATTCCAACTCCTTCAGGTAACATAAATAACTAACACAAGTGTGTGGTTTTACAGGACCAAAAGACAGAGACTTATGTCAATATATATATGTGTAGGTAGAAGAAACTCAGAGCTTCCTGGTCGTCTCAGATCAAAGAACGTTTCTGCTGCAGGAAAAGCCTTGACGAAGAAAGGAATATCTCCAATGCTTAGGAAGCCTCTTTCGCCTGTTACTTCTAATATCTTGAATTCCCCTGAAGATCACAAGGATGCTTACGCAACAAAGTTAGAGGAGAGAATCATGACACCTAAAGCCAACGAAGAGAACAGAAAAACCGAGGTTCCGGTCTCTGTACCTACGACTCCTGCAGCTTCAGTCGCTATGACGGAGGTGACAACGCCGTTTACTCCTGCAGTGGAGAAGAGAATGGATGAAGAAGTTGAGTATTCGTTTGAAGAGATTAGGGCCGGCTTTCGTTAAACCTTGGTTTTTTACGCTTTAGAGAGCTAGAAAGATGGATCCGGTTTGACTGCTTTTGTAGAAATTTCAAATCAGACAGTAAAACACAGTTTGTGTTTGTTCTTTAGTTGAATACTTTTCCATGAATCAACCTGTGATTCGTGTTCAACGTTTGCGTTTGGCATACAACGGGATTTATGGTTTGTGGTTGATGTACTTGATGTGTTTATAAAACGTTTGCGTTTGTCTACAATTAGCTTGGTTTTTTCTTCGAGAGTTGCTTACAAGTCAATTAGTAGTACTTAATTTGGTCCAATTTTTCAAATCTTGTAAGCTGTTTAAAAGTAGACAAACTGAGTGGTGTCGAAATTAATTAGCGTTAAACCTAAACACAACAAAAACCAGAACAATCCTCAGCTATAACAACAACCACAAACGTTTTGGTCTTTCCAGTATCAGAAACATTTCCGGTGAACCACTGATGGTCCAGTCTCGTCGTAGTCAGCTTTAGTAACATGCTGATTCTGGGGAAACACCACTTTGGCTAGTATTGCTCCTCCAACCCAAGCCGAATACAATCCCAAATTCTCTGGCATATATTCCGGCGGTTTCACCAGCGTAGGCCTAATTGCAGATGAGCACAAGTTTGCTTCTTTCTGAAATCTGCTTTCGAATCCTGCCAATAACCATTCCACCAAAACCCTTCAGTTTTTCGACCCACAAAGTACCAAAACACAATACTGTATCAAGTTTTTTTTACCTGTCATGGAGGTTGTGCCACCACAAAGTACAGTGTTCTCCAGGAGCTGCCTATGGTTTTCAGATGAGACAGTGGCGATGATCCGTACAAGCTGCTCGACAATTCCGTGCTCCTCTAGCCCCAATATTGATGGCTGAAACAGAGATTCACCGACAGAGTATCTCTCTCGCCCGATGCTTATCACCTATAAGAACAAGATTTTGTTATGTGAATGTATAAGGCAGCACAAGTTGTAGAATCTTGTTTTGCAGTCACACAAACCTGTCCATCGGGAAGTGTATGCTGCTCGATTTCACAGTTTTGGGTTTTCTCGTAAGCAAGTTCGTCCTCGGCACAGATTGCATACTGCTCTTTCAGTTTTTCAACATCAGACATGGTGAGATTCATCGACGGGTTGGATTTCCCAAGCTCTTGGGCAAATAATTTTGTTAGCTCAGTCCCACCAAGCTCAAACCGTTTCGAGGCAATGTGTTGTACAGCACCTTCAAGAACTGGAGCAATATCTGGGTACACCGGAAAAGATTCAACAACAACTGTTAGATCACTCAAAAATTGAAAACATAAAACATAACATCTTGATCCTACCCAGCTACATGCACAAGGAACCAAATCTAATGGTTTAACAAAACGTTTCAGAGAATAGAAAAGATATGTCAAGGTAACAACTTAAGTAACATAAATCACATAATAGATGGAGATATGACAAAGTGAAAAGACACAATGAGTAAGATCAGATTATAAGAAAGACCAACCAAGTAATTATACCTATCTTTCCATGACCAATATCAACAGTGCAACCTGAGATCCTTCCAACAGCATAAAGAGACAACACTGCTTGCTCAGACGCATAAAATCCAGAGACATTGAATGTTTCAAACATCAATTGCACCAACTGCTCCCTAATGGCCTGCTCCAAAAAACGAACATTTGCACAAACAAATCAGGTCTAAACGTAAACACTAAACACAACAACATTTCACTTCTTAAATGTGATACTACGAGAGCAAAATTGGTCCTTTTAATCATCCAGTGCAACATGTTCCGGTAAGAACAAAGGAAAAAGTTGAGATACGAACCTTAGGAGTACAAAGTGGATCTGTGAAAAGTATATTGCCTTCATTTCCTTCTTCCCATCCAAGACCAGTGTAAACAACATATCGCAACAAATCCTCCATAGCATCCCAATCTTTAATCAATCCCCTTTCAATAGGATCAAGAGTAACATCTTCAAAGACAGTGTTGGGATTATCAACTGAAGAAGACCCATCATCAACCATTCGTTTCATTTGAGATGGAATTATCATTCCAGGAGATTGGTCAGGAATTGCAGCTCCTGCTTTCAGTAGCTTAGACCCAGCATCAACAACAAGTGCTTCCATCGATTTTCCACACCCGAAAAAAAACCTAAAATTCCCAACTTAAACACAAAGTTCCAAGATTTACTAATACCCAGAAGAAGAGAAAACGAGAAAAGGAAATTGAATGTGAGAAAGTGAAGAAAGAAAGGATGTTTCGAAGAACCCACCTTCAAATGAACTTACTAAATCTCGAATACAGTGGAGAACAACATCAGACTTCTCTCACAGGTCACTCGAAATTAGGGTTTCTAATGTCACAAAGAAGAACTAGATCTCAACTAGTCTAGGGTAAAGTTTCTACTGTAGAACGGGAACGACTATCAATGGTCTAATTACGAAAATGGAAGAAGCTTTACGAGTGAAAGTGAGAGAGATCGAAGACGAAGCAGCGTGAAAAAGGTTTTTCTTCTCTCAAGAATATAAGCCCAAATAAGGCCCATGATAAAGCCCAAAATGATATTGTTACAGCCTCTTAGCTCGAAAACGACACCGTTTTGGGTCTCCGTTTTGTTTTCTCTTTGTCTTGTTTACAAAGCCAAGATCCAACTTTTTATACATAACCCGGAAATCTCTTCTGCCATTTTTTTCCCATTCATCATCTAAAGCCCTAGCTTCTTCCTTAGTGATTTCCTTTGCTTCTCTTTCAAATCCGCCATGGTTAAGCAGAACGCGAATTGGTCTCCTTACGATAACAATGGAGGGTACGGATCGTGTTTACCCTTATTTTAAACGCTTTGTTTCTTCGTCTAGTGTCTATTTTCTTCTTCTTTCTGATTTACTAATGCTCTGTATTGATCGGTGTGTGTTTTTCAGAACATGTGTGGCAATCGCTGGATCGGATTACTGTGTTATCGCCGCCGATACTCGAATGAGTACTGGTTACAGTATTCTTAGTCGCGATTACTCTAAAATCCATAAACTGTAAGTACCCTTCTCTTTTGTTTTGTCAAATTTCGCACTTTTGATCCTTAGGGGAAGTAATTCAGTGCTTCAAATAGTTCAATTTCTGGATTATTTCAGGGTTTTTTGCAATTGATAGTTAGTAGATCTGGCTGAAATCAGTTGTGTTTTTCTAGGTTGAGAATTAGGTATTTGTTGCTGGAAAATGAATTTCATTTTCTGTCATATCTTAACTCTTTCCAGAGCCCTAATCAAGACATATAAGAATGATACTTGTGATCTTTGAGTACGTAGTATCTCTAGTATACACTTCATGGCTCAGCTTATCTGTGTTCTTAAAAAAAAATTATATACAATGTGTGTAGTTCTTTGAATTATAGAGTATACAATCTTTATAAAAGAGTGTTGATTAAAATTGCTGTCTTCTTTTTATCCTCCAGAGCAGACAAAGCTGTGTTGTCTTCCTCAGGCTTTCAGGCTGATGTGAAAGCATTGCAGAAGGTTCTCAAGTCCAGGCACTTGGTGATGTTTCCTTTGATTGTTTGATCAAATCTGTTTCTACTTCTCTTCTATATATCAGATTTTTTTTTAAAAGATTTAAGACTTGTCTGATAGTGTTTTCTCTATGTGTTTGATACCCTGTAGATCTACCAGCATCAGCATAACAAACAGATGAGCTGTCCTGCAATGGCCCAGCTTCTCTCCAACACGCTTTATTTCAAGCGGTTTTTCCCCTACTATGCCTTCAATGTTCTAGGAGGACTTGACGAGGAAGGTAAAATGCTCTTTTTCTTTTCTCGGCTTGCCATTTTACATTGACTATAGTAGGAGGTAAATTGTGTGTTGTTTATCTGGAATATATTCAGGAAAAGGGTGTGTCTTCACTTATGACGCTGTTGGTTCATATGAGAAGGTGGGATATAGTGCACAAGGTTCTGGTTCTACCCTAATCATGCCGTTCCTTGACAATCAGCTCAAGTCCCCAAGTCCTCTTCTCCTACCTGCACAGGTTTGTTGATTTGTGCTTGGGCTTTACGCATCGTAAACGCAAAATGAAGCATTCAGTTACTGATTTTCTGTCTTCCGCCTTTGTAGGACTCCAACACACCCCTCTCGGAAGCTGAAGCGGTGGACTTGGTCAAAACTGTTTTCGCATCTGCCACAGAGAGAGATATCTACACTGTGAGTTTTCCCATTTGGGGTCTTCTTTCGTCATCACGCCTACAAATGCATCACCTATTGTCCATATCATTTGTATCTATTTGAAGATAGTGTCGAAACATTTCACTTGGTCGATCCCTTATGTCAACATTAGTACAATATCTTCCTTAATTGTTTGGTCTGACTTATGCTTTCTGGATGGTTTGCTTGTGTAACAGGGGGACAGTCTCGAGATAATGGTCCTTAAGGCTGACGGTGTCAAGACTGAACTCATGGCCTTGAGGAAAGACTAAAGCTCCTTTGGTGCATCCATCTATCAGACCGTATGCTGGTTTGTTATTTTCATATCAACATTAGGCTTCGTGAGTTGTAGAACTCGGATGAAATGCTGTTGGGTTTGATGCTTTACTGTTAAAATCAATGACTCTTGAAGTTTTCTGCAAAACTGTTTCCTTATGAATGATTCTCAAATCCTTGGGTTAATACACTGTTTATCTCATTTATGGCAATGTTTTTACTACATACGGCATTGCATTAGAAATTTAAAAGATAAAGATTAGAATCTGGAAACTCTTTATGTCTTTAATCAGAAGCTGTTCTCGGATACCCATCCCTTCTTCTCCAACTCTTGCCTCAAAGCCTCCATAGATGAAAAGAAAGAATGAAACAATTAACCATCAGCTATTGGTCTCACACTCGACAGATATGTATTCCAGGATCCATGTTCTTACCTTTATTCGCTTTCTGTTCACATCAAAGTCGAAGTTCCCTTTACGGGATGCAGATCGATACTCCACTATCGAGTTTTTGCCAGGAGGGAACAAGAATTCAACATCATCTACTAACTGTCAAAACCACAAATTCAAAAGGGTTTTGTTCAAAATCTTTAGCTATGAGTGTTGAGAGAGATGAAATAAAGCTCGAGTTACTAACCCCTAAGATTGGACTTTCATATTCCACATGAACATAGTCATCCTTCTTCCCCACTATCCGAGGAGTAAATTTATCTGGTTTTGTCGATTTAATCTGCAACACAATTGATGATAAAATGCTGTAACAACGGGATACAGCCATCTCTAAACCACCCTTCGATTCTCGAGATGATCATCAAAGGATTTGGATCCTGACTTGAGATTTGTAGTTTTGCTAAAAGGTTCTTACCACATTAAGAAGCTCTTTCATTGCAACTTCTCTTTTCACTGGCGTTTTCCTTCCTCCATTATAGTTCCTACCCACCATGAAAGAAGAAAAAAAAGGTCATTGATTATCAAATCCTTCAATGAACACAAAGCTCTTGATTTACCATGGAGGAGCATAATGCACTCGATCACTGATATTCTCCGAAGTAGATATACAATTGTTTGTAGCAGGACACAGAGCCAATCTCTCGTTCTTCTGCACTCCGAGATATTCTGGTTTTTTCCCACTAAAACCAATCACAAACATTTCATCATCATCGTCGTTGTTGTTTTATACCATCATCACACTTACTCCGTCGAAGAAAAAACGTACCTGAGCTGGAAAATGGCTCCGATCATAGCTAACTCACTGCTCCTAAGAATGATCTCTCTTCCAATTTCACAGAATTTTTACAAATCAGAAACTTGGTTCGGTGATAAACAGAGACTCAAGCAAGAGAGTCTAGAGTACCTTCGAGCAATTAGCTTCGGATGTTTTTCATCTGAAGTCTCTGGAATCGAAGCGATGATACGACGACCGTCGGAACAAAGATTTCTCCGGCATTCACGGTGGTTCATGCGGTACAAGCAAATGGTCGGTGACGCCATTGAAGCCATCTTCATAAAGCTCGAACTCCTTTTACTCTCAACAAACTTTTAAAGTGGATTCATAGGCTTAATTGTTGACCCAATGGGCCAATAGCACACGTTTCTTGGATCCCAATTAGACAGTAAAACAGCTCGCAGTGCTGTCGGAAAAACGTCACGTTGTCTGAAAGTTCAAGAATTTAGAACAATTTATGTACATATCGTTAAATACAGAGAACACAGCAACAT